TAACTTAATAACTTAATAAGGTTAAAGATGCCAGGCTAAAAACTGGAAGACTGTGAGTTTTAGTTCTGCCTGGTGGGTGACTTTGGCCAGACCCCCTCTCTTAGTCCTAGAAAGAAGGTAATGGCAAACCAGTGATGAAAAGGTTACCAAGAAAACCACATGAACTTGGCTAGCTAGACAGTTGCCAAGAGTAAAGAATAATTTCAAAATATCCTTTCCCTGCTTGAAAAAAATATCGAGAAGGTATACATTGATTTAAAAAAAAATATTTGACACACTAATATTAACTATCTGGGAGAGAAGATATTGTTATATCATCTTATCTGTCCATGATTGTCAGTTAAATATTGGCAAGAAAGTAATAATCAAATGTTATCTTAAATATAACAACTCTCACGATGTTTTTAAAACAACAGTTTAGAAGTAATTTTCTGTAGTTTTTTCCCCCATGAAAATCTCTCATGATGTATGGTTGGTTTTTTTTTTAAACTTTAGTTTAGAGGTAGTTTCTTGTAAGGTTTTTTTCCCCCCAGTTTCTCACTCTGACTTAGCCTTAGAAATTTTTTTAATGGACTTACATCCAAGTATTAGCCAGATCTGCTCATGCTTAGCTTCTGAGATTAGCCAAGGTCATAAGATTAGAAAAAAGCATAAAAGGGAAATTATGCAGAACCTGTTTTAGCTGTGTGCAAACCCCAAATTCCCTTTGTGTGGTCCAGGCAGACCTGTTAACTGTTGTTTTGATATGTTGGTGATGTTTTTTACTTAAATGAAATGTTACCAGGATATCTTTTTATAGTATTTTGGCTTAATTTAAGTTGTAGTAAACTCATGGTTTAGTAAAAAAGAGAGAAAGACATCTTTTAAAAAAGAAATGGAGCATGGTTTAAAGAAAAATATTATGCATCTAAGGTCAAATAAGACAAATGTCCCAGGAAGGTCTTCAAAATGATAACACTCTTCAAAAATTTGAAACGTGTATGGAAAATACTAATGGCTTAACTAAAGCAAAACCACATGGGATTTTTTTTTCTTTGTAAATGTAGAAGGCTACTCTGTTTACTAATTTTCCCGTCTCTCTGTGTTTCATCACACTGAGGCAATACTTCTGTTTGTTTTGTTACATTTGCAGTTCTTGCCTAACCAAAAGCTTATACCCCTGCAGCACAGCATCTGGTTAATGCCACAACGGTGCTTTGCTGATTAGCAAACACATTAGACCCCAAACAGCCAAAACAGAGCCCATTCTTCTTTCTTACCTCAAGTGCACTCCCAAGTTAGTTTGCCATTTCCTGATTTGGCATAAGTTACCGTATATGTTTTAAAATGTTTTGGGGCCACAGAAGAACCAACTTCACAAGGAGTGTTAGGATGAATAAAGCATTTAAGCATTAAGAAATTAAATTATATTCTGTATCCTTTTTTTTTTTTTTTTTTGGAAATAGGAGCTGCAAGTCAGTCATGAGATACTTGCTCCAAGAAATCCTGAGGCAAAACAGGAAATCTTTTTCCTTTGAGGGTAGTGAAGAGTTGCGAAGAGTTCTTTCTCTCGGATTTTAACATAGAAATCAAGAGGCATAGATGTCAGAAGGTGGAGACAGAGTTTGCTATAAAACAAAGTTGACACTTCCTAAACGGCCAAAAGCAACATGTCTCATGAGTGAGAAAAGGTTCCTTGGGTTCCTTAGAAACAGAACTTTTCTGGAGACATTTTTCCTTGGCTGGTATTGGAGCCTTGAGTGGGTCTCCGATAGATTAGGTTTAAATACCTTCTATTCTAGAGAACTGGTTATTTGCCTAATGTTGAGAGGCCTTTGTAGAGGGGCTGGAAAAAAACTGATATCAGGCACGACCATGTAATTGCTTCCTCTATATTGCCATAGCTGCCATTTGACTTTTTTTTTAACTCTCCTTCATAGATCCCTCTGCATGTCTGTTGTTTATCCTGCAGGTTTACAATTAACAGAACAGTTTTATTTATATAACATACACTAAGTCTTAAAAAAATTGAAACAAGATAAGATTAGCAAAATATATTATGTTGCAAAAAGGCAGCTGCTCTGTCTTCACCTTTAAGCATGTTGTGTGAAGAACAAAAAGCAGTTACATGCGAAGTGATGAAAAAAAATCCAGAACAGCAAAGCATCAGTCAATAAAACAAGTTTTATACAACTATAATATATTTAAAATTAGTTTAGGGCCAAATCCTGTTTAAATAAAATTGTATTTCCTTGCTGGTCAAAAGTTTTCTGGAAGATAAAAGTAAGCCAAAGTTTTTTGTTACTTTTTTTTCCAAACTGAAGTAGGTCTAACTACTAAGAAAGTCTTCTTTCAAGTTTTTGTTTTCCAGTACTTATAATAAAGCTCTTGAGGACAAAATAATTGAAAGCATAGTGATTTGTAGTACAAATCTGTGTATCTTTCTTCAAAAATGAGATTCCCATTTGTGATCATTCTCAGTTAACTTTGGTATGCTGAATAAACCATGATCACAAAATTTCACCCAACACACTCAGCAGAACCAAACAAATCACACAATTACCAAGAATGTGGTATAAACACAGCTGTTTTGGTTTTAAAGCACAGTCTACAGTAAGAATGCAAAATGTCTTGGAAGCTGTAGCCAACTTACATTTTTCAGACCTTCCTCTAAGTGATAAGTCTAAACTTTTAGACATGTTCCAGCATTTCTGGAAATGTGGTGAGGGCGTATAGAAGTAAAATGATATTTTAACTTTATAGTCATTAATTGTCAGATGCAAGCAACTAGTGCCACACATGAATATCTGAAATCAGTGACTTTATTGTCTGCCACTTTTGCTACAAGAATTTCACCAGATTACTTGCCTTCCCCTGGGAACGACCTTCATGGCTTCATGGCTCCTGGGGGAGGTAAAGCTTTATGCCACTTGTCGCTGTGCAATGACTCCAAGCTAGGCCCTCGCTTGACCTCCTCTCCCCTTTCATCCTAGCTGGCAGTTTCCTAACATTAATGCACTTATTCACTCTTCAAGGCTCACTAATCCTCCCTCCAAGTAATAGGATTAGTGAATATTCAAGCTGATGGAATTCTTCACTTGTAAATTGTTAGTACAGGCAGCCAGTCCTTTGAAGATGGATTAAAATAACAATAATAGATTTCCAGTTCCTGTCACTTGGGTGAGAAGGTGACACTTGGCCGAAACTCTTGACAATATCACCTGATTAAAAAACCTCAAAATACAGAGTCAGAATATCAGGGTTCCTCTGATAAATTTGTTAACCACACACTCCATTTTACAATTCTTCCTGTCACTTGGCCTAGAAGTAAGGCAGACCCATGTTGGGGGTGTCCATGCTCCTTTCTTGATCACTCTGAGTGAAACAGAAGACTGCTTTTCAAAAGCCCTGTGACTGAAAGAACCTGAATGACTGTTCTAATCTGGCAGATTGTCTTCACCAAACAGGCACCCATTTCATCCTTCCAAGGTTGGTAAAATGAGGATCCAGATTGTTGGGGCAATATGCTGACATTGTAGACTGCTCAGAGAGCACTGTGGGGTGGTATATAAGTCTAAGTGCTGTTGCTATTACTATTTCTACCATTCTTCTGAAAATAATGTCATTTTTTTTAATTAAAAAAGCAATAGCTTTAAGGCATGACTGATTGGCAGTGCTGGTAATCATCTCAACATCTGAACCCTCAAGGAATTTAAACCTGGCTGACTTAGAGTAATTGCTGTTGGGAAATGGGAGTGTTTCTTTCTTTTGCAATTCAGAGTTCTGCAGAGTTCACATTGCTAAATGTTTCTTCTTCCAGCATTCAGGAACATCTACATGATATGGTCAATATGGTAGCCAAAAACAGTGAAATCAAAGCTCGGTCTGCTTTTTATGGAGGATGTGGTGGGTTTTGGCTGTGAGAAGGCCATGTTTTATGTGAGATTTGGCTTGACATTCATTTGCACAATGATCTTTCTGGTCATTTGTAGTTTCCCCTGTTTCTCATACTATTCCTCACTATTGGCCTCCATTCAGGACTGGAGCACTCAAAAAAGTTTCTTAGAAACTTTCTTGTAACAAGGAAATCCAAGAATGAAGTAACAAGTAATAATTATTGTAGCAAGTTTGGAAGCCATAACCCAAAGAATTTCAGCCCCTGTTGCAACTCAAGTACTGCCCTCATTTTGTTTTTTGCACTCAAACCCTCTTGCATTTCCTTTTCCTTCCTGTTCTGCGTGACAGATGGCTTGTCTTCCCCCTTTTGATGGGACAGGCCTGTTTGTCTCTATTCCTTGTTTCTGCAATAGTCAGATTTGTTGCCATGTTTTTTCACTGGTGTGAGAACTAGCTCTAGACAAAGGGAGGACAACATGAAGCAACCCTGCTTGTGGGACATTTTCAAAGCAGGAAGTGTGAGTTGTCTGGGAAGCTACAGATTGATGGATAAACAAGCTCAATAATATCATTTTTCTCCACATAACTATAATATAAACCTCAGAAACACCCCCCCCCCTCCAAAAGGTATCCAGAGAAAATTGCTTTCATACGGTACCAAGGAAACTCTGAGATTATATCTAAACAGTCATCACTGAATTGATGGCAATTTTGTCTTGTAGCTGTTTAAATTCTTTTTAAAAAGTGCACTCTACACAGAATGTTGTGTTGCATCTCTAAAAGTATCCGATAAGAATTTTGTCTAATCCAGAATTCTTACCTTACCAATATTTCTATTTTTTCTAAAAAACATTGTGGACAACATCAGCATTTATCTCCACTAAGAGCAAACTAGAGGCCTAAATGTACAGACTGAATTCTATAGGATACATTGTGATGTGGAAAAAATAGTGTATTATTTTGGAATGCATAGTATATAGTACGTAGTAGATGAGGTATCCTGCAAAATATTTTAGGTACGTTTTTATCCTCAAAATCAGGATGGCAGATAGTCTCATTCATAAATGCACTTCATCATTTGATGACTGTACTATGAAGATGTGTTGTTGGCAATTTTTACATCTGTAACTAATATTATACATCAAACAGCAGATGTGAATTTCTCACATTGTCTCACATTAAGTATAAATGCTGTGATTTTGCATTGCGAATTGACATTTTCAACTGTGATCTGTGACTTCTCAAATCAATTCAAAATAAATGAAGTATTTTATATGTGGAAGTTAATATGGTTAAATATCATTTCTCTTTTTTTGTGCTTTTGGCTAATTTAGTCAGAAGCTTATATGTTTCTTAAATTAATTACTCCAGAGTACAGCAATGTAATCTTATGTAACACTGTAGTAATATTTGCATGCGGTCAAACAAAAGAAGCAAACATCATATCATTCGCAATAAATAGTTTATGGGAGATCAGAATATATTATATCTACATATTAGAATTTAATACAGTTAATCAGCTTAAACTTGCTTTACATTTATATGAAAAACAAAATCACAGGTTATTACTGCATTCTCAGTTAAGCTTGTTGAATTCTGTGTTGTCTATACATCAGAATTAGTTATAACCAATAGGTAGCGTTGATTAAATGATTTAACAATTCAGCCAAGAATTGCTTCTTCGAATAGGCCGAACAATTCTTTGATCTTTAGGGTCAAACTGAAACACTTTTGTTCCTTGGAAAAAATAGATATATCCTGGGGAGAAAAAAAGAAACATAAATGAAAAATCTGGGTTTTTTTCAGACCCAAAGATAAGTTTCCTCTTTACAGATTTCTAATGTGAATTTAGGAAGATTTGAGCTATGTGTGCAAAAACATCCATGACGATATAGAACAGACTTTGTTCTTAAGATAGGCTGAGATTCTGAAACTTCAAGCCAACAGTAATGTGCAAAAGAAAAAAAAAGAAAAGGTATATTTTGTCTGCTTTTGAGATTTGGATTATATATTGACTAAACTTTGCTTAAGCATAATTTATGAATCAATGATTGATTAGGCTTGTACAATACACAAATATGTAAGTCATAAACCATTATTTACAGATATTAGTGCTAGGGTTCATACAAGATATTAAGCCACATGACCTAACCCTAACCCACCAACCAATTATAAATCCAACCAGTTGTGATTTAGTCCTTAAGTCATTGCTGCTCATATTTTATTTCACAAACTATGAATCAGCAAAACATAGATTTAAGGCCATGTAGGGATATAATTACAGGCTTAATTTATTTTCATTTACTGAATTAATGGAGGATAGAAGTTTTTGTGCACTTTGCTAGTCTTTAAGCTGCCACAAGTCTCTTGTGATTTTTTTAAAATGATGATTAAATAAAAAATTCAAAATGGTTAAAGGAGTATTACAAAAACCACTATCTAAAATGTTAAATGCAGAAGGTTTAAAAGTTATAATGCCCAGTGCAGTTTGTAAACCCATTGTAAACCTATTATATGAGGAAGAAATAATTTAATAATGCTGATGATAATATAAATACAAATTAAGTCAACCTGGTTTCTAGTAAACCTTGTTTTTCTGCCATACCAACTCACTCCTTTACTCACCATTGTCGTACAAAGCAGCATCAATTCTGGGTTTAATCCCTTTAAAATCTTGGGCTATATTTCTGGGGTATCCTTTTTCCATGCTTTTTTCCATTTCATTGTATCTGAATGGAAATAACAAATGTCATGATTGAAATGCAATATAGAAGGCACTTTAGTTAAAGAAAAAAGGATTCAAGTTGGTAATGATCAATTGAAGAAGCCAAGCCAAATACAGGAAATGAAAATTTCCTCAACATACTTTTCTCTCTAAAGGAGAAAATAACTTTATGGGCATATCCACGAAGATTTGCCACTGCCTTCTTCTGTTTTAAAACTTTGCAGTTTATGATGCTGAGACTCTAGAAAGAGTACAGAGAAGAGCAACAAAGATGATTAGGGGACTGGAGGCTAAAACATATAAGGAACGGTTGCTGGAATTGAGTATGTCTAGTTTAACGAAGAGAAGGACGAGGGGGGACAAGATAGCAGAGTTCCAATATCTCAGGGGCTGCCACAAAGAAGAGGGAGTCAAGCTATTCTCCAAGGCT